AAAATTTAATTTAAAATCCAACAATTATTTAATTTTTGCGAGAATTTCCAAATCAATATATTTTTTTTTTTTTTTATTATTTTCTTTACCGGAAAAAAAAAAGAGACTCTAAAACAACCATAGTAATATCTGATACAAAAAAAAAAAAAAAAAAAAAAAATTTTCGAACGTGGTAGAAAGGATTAAAAAAAAAAATTTAATAAAATAATAAAAAAATCCTTTGGTCTTTCCTCTTAAATAATCAAACATTTTGACGATAAATCTGTTTTTATTAAATGTTTGGGACTTTTGTGTCATCTTGTGTTGTTTTTTCAGCAAGTTAGTGGAGATGCATTCAAAAGCAATTAATTAAAAGTTTTTTTTTTTATTTTATTGCATTTGTTTATTTTACAATTCAGTGCAAATTTTCTGTAACAGGGTGTCATGTTAGTTCAACCAAATAGAAAATTAATGATTTAAAAATTCTCCTAGGACTTGTCCTTTACCTTAAGGCTAGACATTTAAGCACTACAAAAAAATACTATAAAATTAAATAAAAGAGTAACAAATATAAAAAAAAAAAAAAAAAAAGTTTCAAACAAAATTTCAATCCTTTGTAAATAAATCCTGAAAGTTTCACTAAAATCTGACAATTATCTGATTTTTGCAAGAATTCCCAAACAAATTCAGTGAGTTTTTCACCGCAAAATTTCCCGTACTAAATTACCGTCTCCCGTTGATGCTAGAGAAACAAAAATTTTAACCAAAATTTGGCAAGTTCTAAAAAAGGATTAAAAAATAACTTTTACGTCATAAAAAATCCTTTGGTCTTTCCTCTTAGTCTTTTTGTCGACGATAAACTGTTTTTATTAAGTTACGGACATTTTTTTTAATTTTTTCATTGTATTCTCTTTTGCTTTTTAGCAAATATTTGGACGTACGTAATACACGCACCCCCCCCCAAAAAAAAAACACACACACCTCTTTCATTCTGATAAGATACAAGAACACATCCCGGCTTAATCCACTCCAGTGGAAAGATCTGTCTGCCGACAGAACTGCTATATACCTAAAAAAATCTTTCTCATGCATAACGCTATTTCCCTTTCAACAAGTCTTCTTCTTACTCACAAGAACTCCGTCATTCATACTTAAATACGCGCCGACTTTCAGACATTTCACTCACTGAACTTTTTCTGACATTTTACACGCGATATTGGTTGGAATATGAAAAACTTTCTAGGTCGTTGTAATAAAACTTCTTGGTTGTCCTTATATTTTTGTGAATGAAGTGCCAGAGTGTTTATTGTAATTAGAAACTTCAATGTAGGTAGATGTTGTTTAACAACAACAACATAACATCAAAATAAGTAAGAAAAACAACAATCACTACATTCAACTGTCGTTCATCATTTCATTAGTGATGGTATGAGAACTACTAAACTATTTTATAGTGTAATACAAAATTATGTGATCCATGTATCACACACACAAAAAAAAACTAGTGTGTGTGTGGATGTTTGTTAGTAATACTTTTTGTTTTTCCGAGAGCGCACAAGCGTGTAATCCTGTCATTTTTTATGGGTATTATGCTACATTTACTCAAAGGGTCAAGAGAGTCAAAAAGTAAACTTTTGTAATAAAATAATGACATTGAATTTGAAAATAAATTTATTTTTTAGCTTAAACCCCCCAAAAATAAGAACATTTTTGGCAGTTTTTTTTAATGAAAATTAAGTGAAGTCGCTATCAGACTTCGTTAAAAAATGAAGCTTTTAAATTTTAAAAGCTTAATTTTTTTTAAATTTAAAAAAAAAAGATAATTTGTTTTACGTTTCGTATCTGAATTAAAAATAAAAAGTAAAGAAGTTTTCAATTTTATTTCGACTTTACTGACAACTTCTATAAAAAAAAGTTTCCATATACTGAATTAAAAAAATTCTTTACGTTAGTTAGTTCCGACCAGAAGCGATTTAAATTAATCTGAGCCTAATTGACAAGCAACAAAAACAAAATTCTTTCACCAATCGTTAAAATTCTTGAGTCATGATTTTTCTTTCTTTTTGCAACATTCTAAAAAAATAAAAAATAAAAAAAAAATAAACCGCAAATATTGTCCTATTACAGAAAACTAAGAGAAAATTAAAAGCCAAATTAATTTATTTTAATTTAATTAAACAAACAAAAATCAGCGTGACCGAAAAAACTTATTTCAATAAGTTTTTCCCGCGAAAAATCTTCAACAGCAACTCAATTTGTACCTTAAGAAAGATATTTTAATCTTGCTTTAAAATCTAAGTTTAATGCCTTTTTTTTTAAATAAATTAACTCAAAAAGCGAGATGAAAAATGCAGTGTCGTTGAATTGCTCGTCATCAGAAAAAATCTTACTAACTATGAGCAAGAAGCATCTAGGTAAATTTTAAAATTTACTTGCACGAAAATGCCATCGAGATCTCTCGACGTACGTAGTAGTCTTAACTTTAAAGCATAATATTCCATTTGGATCGAGTTACATCTTCAGTGCTTGAAATGCGTGACCTTGTGTCAGATTTAGCAAATTAGTTTGGACTGCTGGATGAGTTTAATAATCTTCAAAAAGTGCCCTACATTTATATACTCTTGTGCCAGACTAGGCTATATATGTTTAGTTTAGATAACATGAATTCTGCTGGAATTATTTGCAAAGTGCTTGATCATCTTCAATACGTGAAGAAGAAAAAATACTATTTTAAAAATTTTCCAACGCGGCCCACTTTTCCGAAATCTAACCCAAACCAGGTCTTAGTCAGGCTGACAACTTTTCGTCACTTCTCGTAATTAATTGTTGAGAAAAGAGGTTTCAATTCCTGAGAATAATCAATTTGCGTTCTATTTTTTTTATTGTACTTGAGAACTAGATCATTTACTGAACTGAACACTAACACATCAACAACTCAACATATCGTTGCAAAGTTGTACCCTACATTTTGATAAGGTCTAAGAATAAACATCTGACCCACTTAGTTAACCCTTTCTTTAAAACTTCCATTTACCGGGTTCACAGTCCTAGATTGACTTCAACTTTAAAAGAATTTGGTAAAAATGGAATAAGCCTAATTGACTTAAAAAGTGATGCAATCTCTTCACAATTTTGTTATTTTGACACATACACACCTTATGCCTCATTGGATCAGCAGCAGATCATCATAAGTGAACTATTGTTACTACTTTATATCGTTAATAATTGTAATTAGGTTGAATAATGTAATTGATCTGAAAGCAGATCTAGCACAATAAGGTGAGGTTTGTTTTTCTTTGAATTCATTCTTCGCCTCCATCATCATCATTGTCAATGTTCTGTTACGTCAGCGTGTGTTTTTTGTTTATCAATTCCATAGCCAACTGCATTTTTTTTTCTTTTTATTCAAGTTGTCTTCCTCGAAGACCGTGTGACCGGTAAATGATCTTAGTATAATTTTTATTATTTTGATAGTAATTGTTAAAAAAAAAAAAAAAAAGATATTTGCATTTGCCATTCTAAAACGATTTGATTTGTAACTCGCATCGTTATTGGAAATTCTACGTTAGCCTTTTTTCCTGTTTTGTAAGATAAAGGGAAAATTCCACACTGAAATTAAGTAGTTACTTGATGGAAAGGAATTCAAACCCTTCATCAAGTAATAATTAATTCCATCAGGAATAAGCAAAATTAAATAAAAAAAATAAAAGACAATATTCAAAAGATTAAAATCACAGTCAACAATAACAAACCAACCTTAACAACAGGCACTTTAAGGAAGGCCGGAGTGTAGGTCGAAACGTCGTGCCACACAGAATCACTGTTACTATTGTTATTGTATACATACTCTGATATTTTTCTGCTCTCATGTTTACTTTATTTTTTAAAGTTAAACCCTCTCAAAACGCCATTTTTTGAATTAGACACCAAGCGTAGTTGATTGCGTTTTATGGGGGGGGGTAAATGTATACAAAGGACAAGGTGTGGGACATTAACGGGGTTTATTCAAGTACAACGTACTTTTAATCCCGTGAAAAATCTCACGGCTAACATTATTATTTAGTTTGAACCACATCGCTTTTTTTTTTCCAACGTCAGCAGATGAAACTTTAAAAAAAGAAGCGATCCCATGCTCCGAATCGGTCGGAGGAGGGGGCAAAGCAAAGCAATCTAAGGGAAATAATTCAGCATTTATGGGAGACACGTTTCGGACTCTAAAATAGAAAATACTTTAAAACCCATTTTTATGCATATAGTCGAGAAGGTTATATTTGCCAGTCTTGCAGGATAACTCTGAATTAGGTAACGGGAAACCACTGTCATTCCCAAAAATGGTAATTCGGTTTAGAAGAAGTTGTAACGATCTGAAAAGATGACATTTGACAAAAATACTGGGCCTGGAGGAATAGGATTTTTTTGGCTTGCAAAATTGCATTTTAATTACAAAGCATTTTTTTCTTTTAATGAAAAAAAATTAATGAGAACTTCTTCATTAACAAATTCAACAAAAAGGTTTAAAAAGAAAGTAAATCATATTTTCGAAAATTTATTTTCTGTCAATGAAAACACGGATTTTATAAGTATCCAAATAAAAAACGTTGATACGATTAAGGAAGTTGTTACGAACGTCATCAGTAATTTCATTAAAAACATACAAAAAATCGTCTTTACCTAATGAGCCACGATACTCACGCTAGCTAGCAGTTGCGTAAACATACGAATAAAAAAATGTTTTCCATAAAAGACAAAAAATATATAAATGATCATTTTTTTTTAAATGCCTTTAGAAAAGAATTCCAATATTGCACACATTTTATTCGCCGTTCTGGAGAGGGTGAAAATCGGTCTGTCTGTCTGTCCTTTTAAAATTCAATAACGATTGCAAATAGTGACTACTTTTAAAGTGAGCTGTCATGCCATCTGTTACGATTGTAAATTTGAAGAATATTGGGGATTTTCCATCGTTCTTGCTATTTGATAAAGAGAAATAAAAGAAGAAAAAGAAGGAATTTCTTACGTACCAGTGGAGCGAAAATGCGAAGCACTGAGAAAATTGTTCAGAAAACAAAGCGAATGTTTTGATGTCAAAGGCGACCTTTAATATGTTGCCTTTGATGACGATCCTCTTACACAAGATCTCTTTAGTTTCAGACCGGCTCCAGCGATGTGTGCTGGGCCGATATCGGGCTAAGTTGAAAGTTTCTTTTTACGCAAGTTGTGTATGAAGAGAGCAGTGAACTAAAGAAACGTGCTGCAGTGACGACAAGCCAATGTCATGTGACCAAGTATTGGGGTTGTTGGCAGCAGCAGGCATTCGCTGATTGGGCACACCTCCCCAGACTAAGGGAGGTAACATAATATTCTTTGTGGGGTCACGACGAAAATAAATAAAAAGAAAAGAAAAGAAGAAAGAAAGAAATGAAAAGTAAATAAATGATACGAATTATACATAGTAATAACAATTGTTATCGAGATTATTAGCTTTAAGAAGATAGGCTGTTTTCAGAGACAACACAATCTAGCACAGTGGTTAACCAAAAATTTCACATGTAAATGTCGAACAAATAAATAAAACTTTTTAAAATAACAACGTACACAATTACAATTTTAGAAAAAAAAAAGTGTGTGTATGTGCGTGAGTGAATGCTTGAAATCGTTTACACTTTTAAATTAATTGTAATGCTTTCCTTTAATAAAATTAGCAATGCATATACATACAATTTATCTTTTTAGCCCTATTCTGTCGGTAACCTTTCTTGCATTAATTCTTGAAGAGAGCCAAATTCGAATTACAGTCGGGTTTGTTCCGTTTGTTACATTTACTTACGTGCAAATACCCCTTGGAAAGGTATGAATCCCTCTCCTCTAGCTATGGGTTATATAATATATACATTAAAGTCTTATTTTGTGAGTAACACTTACTTTGTAGAGGGCCGTGTCGGTGGTGTTGAGTAGAAGTAGAAGAACACATGTGGGTAGAATTTTCCTGCTAGGTGGTCCAACTACATGAGAACTTTGGACTTAATTAAAATTAAGTCCAAAGAAGGCAAAGAAAAACAAACACAAGACTGATAAATATATGTAAACAAATATATGTATTAATTAACAAGAAAGGTTACAAGTTACATGGACAGTTACATTAGACAGAGTGTGTGTGGTGAATATTATGTGTGTGTGTTGTGTTGTGGTGAGTGTTCGTACGTACGTGTATTGTTCTTAGTGTGTTCCCAGCATTTGGGAAATGCTGTGTCTGTGAGCATTCACATCTGCGAGGTGGTATAAGGCTGAGGAAAAGAGAAAGAGCTGAAGGGTCACCCAGTATTTATAGCCAGGGGAGAGAGACCCCTATTGAAGGGTAAGGAGCTAAGGAGGAGCTAACTCCAACAACTTTAATTTCTGACCACTAACAATACTTTTCTTCCTGATTTTCATCTCTGCCCACAAGCCACCAATCTGCCACTAGCATTTACTGATGGTAACCCGTGCCGAAGTGTTTGTCTCAGCAATGTTACCTCTGGTGAACCGCTAGAGGCCCAATAGTGGCTTCCACCAGAGGACTGCAGGTGTTGCCATCAGCAGCCCACTACTAGCAGCTTGCATGTGGGGAATTTAGTGTCTGAAACAAGCTAAAACAATTTTAGTTCAAATATTTCAGAATACAATGTTTAATCATCAATTTTTCTGTCTCAACCAAAATACTGAAATCTCAGCTATTTATATCAGCATAAATGAGTCATCACAAAAATAGTTTCAAATTATCATGGTCCAATGCCCAAAACTTACTGTCTCTATATGATATATGATCATTTGAGTAAATGAACATTTTGACAAATTTGTTTAATAAATTCTACCACACCAGGCCCACCTAGAATATATATATATATGTACTAATAATAAATATGCATTTTGTTCTTCAACAGTTGGAATAAAATATAAAATGTATATTTATTAGAAGTATGAATTTTAGCTCTGTTATTTTACATCAAGTACTGTTTTATTATCATCTGCACACACTGTATGCTAATATATATATATATATATATATATATATATATATATATATATATATATATATATATATATATATATATATATATATATATATATATATATATATATATATATGTATGTATATATATATATATATATATATATGTGTGTGTGTGTGTGTGTGTGTGTTACACTTTTGCAGGATACGAATCTGCATCCCACTAGGAAGAGGGAGCTACAGTTAAATCTGGTACACTCAAACCCACTGAGCTACAGATAACCAATATGGGCACATGGCCAAGTGGTTAGGACGTTTGGTTTCTGACCCTGAGACCTGGGTTCTAATCTCATCACACTTTATTTGTCAGGTCTGATGTTATCAGCTTGGAGGGGGCAATCTCAGCATGAGGCACCTTTAGAAAGTGCCTTAAAACCATACCATGGGTTGACCCAAGACTTGTGAGTGAAATTGGGTAGATGGGACTCTTGGGGGCCATAGATAACTGTCCTAGCATGAAGTCACAAGTCATCATGACTGAGAGTTTGTTTGTGCTGGCCTTGTTCAGATTACTGATCACTCTAGATAACGTTCTCTCTCCCAGAAACTGTAACTAAGATCTGCTTAGCATAGTTGCATTATAAACCATAGTTGCAGTATAAACCATAGGTGTTGAACAAACGCAAATATGTCTGAGTGAGTGTCAGCAATAGGGATTGGCTAGCTGCCCTAATAAACGGGTATCCTTGAATATGAATGGCCAGCTCCTATTATATATATATATATATATATATATATGTATGTGTTTGTATGTATATATATGTATATACATATATATATATATGATTAATACAAATATAAAATTAGTCACTTCGGCAGTTAGATATTTTATTAATTTCAACCAAGATCTACCTGTTTTGATTTTAATTTTATTTTTTTAATTTTTGAATAAGTTGTACATCAAGATCAAAATTGTATATTGTTTAAAATTTGATATTATTAAAACCATTAACAATGCATTTACCTTATATTATATATGTATATATAAAAAGTACAGTGTATGAGTGTGTGTGTTTGTGTGTGTGTGTGCATCCAAGCAATTCCTACGCTCACACTGCTCTGAGTTCAATGATTCATAGTTCATTCAAAAGCCCTAATGTTAGGCACAGGGAATGATTTTTGTTAATCTCAGATTCAGGGTTGTCAGATTATGCATGGTTAAAAATATATATTAATATATTATACTAGCCATTATCATTGCTTTCATGGTTCAAGGGGAGTAACTCTTAATTTCCTTTGGTATCCAAAATTGCATCTATCTTAAAATTTTAAGCTAGCTAAAATTTTAAATTAGCCTAAAAGCCACCCAATCAGGTGGCATTTAAGCTAGCTCCTGTTGAGGACTCTTGGTTTGGCGATCATCACAATAGATAGGGAGGAGTAGATGCTATAGGCATCAATAAACTACAGAAGAACTCAAAATTAATTGCTGCATTTAAGTATTGAATTAATGTTTAATCTTATCTTTTAAAAGTTCAATGGTAATTCTTCAACTGCCTCTTAATTTAAAGATGATTTGATGATGGATCCTTATTTTCCATACAAACAATTATTTAGGGGACAATTTATAAGAAAAAAATTAATATAATGCAAAGATGGGAAAACAGAATTAGTTATACATTCAACATTTGAAGACTTAGAAACATAATAGCTAATTATGTAAAATCTATATTATGGAATCTATATGAATAAATGCAAAAGTGGAGCTCAATTACCCCATGAATTTTGAGATAAAAAAGCCCTGGCTCTACTTTATAGCAATTTGGTATTTAATCGACACCCCCTCCCAACCCACAGAGTCATGTTGTGACACAATGTTGGTTTAATGTAGGGAGCCCAAGTGCATACACCCAGGCTAGGAACAAAAAATCCCCAAGCCCTAGCTTTGTTGTACTGGCCTCAGTGCAAGCACTGATCCCTCTCTCTAGTGTAATAGAAGATGTAGCCATGGGCAGCTGTTCCCCAGGGTTGGGCATCTCTCAGCATGATTTTCCCCAGTTGCGACTGTGTCCTTTGATGGAGTCAACCTTGAGTGCACACTGTCTGAAGTCAGAGATGCGACAGAGAGATGATAAATAAACAAACTACTTTAGAGTAATTTGGTATTCACTCAACCCCTAACAAAGTCACATTGTGACACAATGTCGGTTTAATGTGGGGAGCCCAAGTGCATACACCCAGGCTAGGAACAAAAAATCCCCAAGCCCCTGCAACTGTTGGTTGTGTTGGCCTCAGTGAAAGCACTGATCCCTCTCACTGGTGCAATGAGAGAACTACAGCAGGTATTCCCCAGGGCTGGGTACCTCGCAGTATAATTTTCTTCAGTTGTGACTCTGTCCTTTGACAAAGTCACAATTGAGAGATGATAAATAATGTGTTACAAACTACTCCAGAGAGCAATTTACACACTAGGTATTTACTCTGTCTCCCCACTAAGATGAGTTGTGACACAAAGTCAGTTTTTAAGGTGGGGACCCGAGCATGTACGCCTGGGCTAGGAACAAAAATTGCCAGCAGCCCCCGTGATAGTTGTGTTCATTTAAAATTTTTGTTTCAAAGATTTCAAGTAGGCAATATATCTTATTTTGTGAAATGATACTGAGTGGATGAAGCCTGCTAGTATATATATATATATATATATATATATATATATATATACATTAATTTATTAGAAAATTATATCATAAATATGATATAAAATCACTACCAAAAAAGCCATTTTGTTTCAACACTACTGGTGTCTTATCAAGTGATGGTGTTGAATGTATGTCTATTTTTGTCGTGATTTTATAAGATATTTATGTTATAATTTTCAAATGAATTATGTTTGCTCTACTCTGCATTGAGCACTCTTTTAAGAATAGTATTTTTTGGTTACTGGAATTTATTCTGTATACACCGATCCTATACTTGGGTATATATATATATATATATATATATATATATATATATATATATATAGGTAGTAGTAATAGTAAGCATCCATTTATCTCATTAGATAATGACAGCACTCTGTTTAGTCAAAATTCAGTCTTTTGTGAGCAGCATATGAAGTGGCTTTACAGTCTAATCTTTGCATGTGTGGCAGATGAAGCTGGAATGTGGAATGAAGGGCTGAGATTGCTCTCTCTGCTTCCTGTGTTGTCTTCTAATCTGCAACCGTTGGTTTTGCTTTTTTCTGCCTTTCATGACTCCACCTTGAATAGCATGGCTACAATTGTCTGCTAGCTGTTACCAGCTACAAGGTTTGATGCTTGTGAGTTTCAGGTCCCTCTTGTAAATAAGATTATATACATATATATATATAT